CCTTCTTCTCTTTCCTCTTATTGTAGTTATGGATCTTCTTGTTGGTTTCTCGTTATACATTTGATAATGCCGCAGCTAGGTTTTTGCGTATACTGACACATTCGGAAGGCAGAATGTGTAAAATTACGACATAAACCGAAGTTTTGAAAACTTTTGCCAAAGTAGTTTACAGCTTTTTGTTTATGTGCCGTTTTCGGCCGGAATAACATCGAGTTTGAAGATTATTTTTTAATGAGGGTAGACATACAGAAGCCGATCTTGTAAGAGTTGTCGAGATCGTTAAATTTCGCCATCTGTTCTATGTGTACGGCTGACTAATCTGGCCCTTGCTTCACAAGACAGGAAACGAGGAAGATCGTGCAGTGTGCATGGGATTAGGACCCATGTTTCTGTGATTTCTGAAATCAAGCGTGGGTAAGGGTTAGCATAAAAGCTACTGTAGGGCTAGGGATAAAGTGAGGGAAATGTTAAAGGAAGACTGTGTTCTACATTCATGATACCGTTGAGGGTTGGTATACAGGAATAAATTTCCCTCATGAAATTTCCCACAAACCACAAGGTATTACTGTGGTCGAATTTCACCTTTCTGTGCCCTGCCATGAGGGTTATCAACTTTCAATCACTTTTCTGTGTTCCTGTTTGGAATTACAGGTGGGATTTGCAGCTGGAATGGATTATGGGTGATTTCACTGTCAGATTTGGCATTCGGGTTGGCTGATATCAACAGGTTTTTGCCTGCAGATCTTAAATAGTTCTAGTTTTCAGGTTTATTTAAATTAGTGTTGCGCTGTACATGCTGTCGTTTATGAACACTTCGCGCAAGTAGAATGGCATCTCTAGTAAATTTCAATCACAGGGGAAAACGAACAATCACGAATATTTTCCCTATTTCTCAGAATCCTTCAAAGCATTTACATCTGACATGCTGACCTCGCATCAAGTCATAATTATTGAACGATTACCGAATTTATTAAGCATTGATAATGGCAAAATTGCTTTTGACTGTTTCTTCAATCAAAATGCCAGCTGCGATGTGCAACAACTTAAAAACCAGCATTCGCGATGTGTTGAGTGATTTACCGGAGGAAACAGAAGAAGTCGACGGCCAATATTTGGTCCCCTTTCACTTTTTCCGAATTGCTTACAGGTTCCGCCATAACTGTTGCTAAGCTCAGTCAAGTACAGAATAGGCGTGGAATAATTTCTAATTCATCGTACCAGTGGACCTAGCCGCTTGCCATCAGCTGCCATTCAAAGCATTTGTACCCGTACAGAGACTGGAAGGCGTTGGCGTTAGTGAGGGGCTGGGGAAACGGATCAGACAGTTCAAAAAGAGACGAAGGAGGACATCATTTGTCACGTTGACCCCTCTCTTCAGCATTTTGGGCGATAATTCTCTTGAGTAAATCCCTTCTTCATTCAGGAAAAATCATAGAAGTTAAAAAAGAAATAAATTGAATGAATTCACTTACATGTGGCAAGCCTGTTGTAATTGCGAAACATTAAAACTCGAGATTTGATAAACAACCAAGCACGGCTGAACAATTTTTTTTTTCATTTTAATTAATAAGCTGTCGGTATCCTTTAGATTGATTGGCTGTAAACTAGTTGCATAGAACAACAAGTAGTTGCAGCGAATTGTTATATTTCAATGTCTGGTTCTTTCCTCTGCAGTAATCCTGCCTTGATTACATCTTAGTCTAATGAATAAAGTGTTTATATAAGCAAAGGTTGGTTTTAACATTCAAATAGGTAATGCATTGATGATGACTGCAGAAATCATTCACTTGGCTTTATTGAGTTTGAATGACAGGGAACATCAGTCATCATTCCATGTGTAACTACGAGCCACTTAAAATTTGCACGTCTTTCCCTTTCTCACGCAATTGGTGTGCAGGCTACCTCTGCGACGTCCAGATGACTTGAGCAAGCCAAATTCCATAATAACTTGGCGTCCTCCATTTAGTTTTTTTAGCCCTGATTTATAATAAACACTTCCATAGGCTTTACAAGACACTGTCATGTAGTTTTTTGGTTCTGCAGGTGGAGGCAGCGGCAATTTGTGTGAGCTGCCATTAGAGACTGGACCCTGCCGTGCTTTCATTCGTCGTTACGGATTTAATCCCCAGACGGGACGCTGTCAACTCTTTACATACGGTGGCTGTCCTGGTAATGCAAACAACTTTGAGACCGAAGAGGAATGTATGGCTCGATGTGGAGGTGCAGGATCAGGTAGGGTGATTGTTTCCGCTACTTAGCGCATATCAATACTGAATCGTCAGGGTTTAGTTGCAGTGTGCAGATTAACAATGCATTTTAATCCAATGCAGAACGTCTGTGTTATTCGGAGTGTACGATGAGATAGTTAAAGACTGTAGTTGAATGGATTCAGCTTCACATACAAAAAAGTACATTTTCAGTGGAGTTGATAGTAATACCAAATTTGTTTGAATGGACTAGTTCAAGTGTTTCAATACCCAGAATGGCATACAACTCATGCCTTTAACACCAGCCTTAGGTCTTTCTTAATAATGTCCATTGAGACTTTTACACTCAGACCTGGTTATGAAAGAGGACATGCAGAGCAACGTAAACAGCTCAGTCAAGTTTATATTTATCAGGCTGACTATTTTTGTGTGTATAATATTTGGCGATGGTACTTATACTCCGTCGGCAAGGACAGGAAATTAAAAGTGTAAATGACCAGATCAGTTCTTTGGATACATGTTAATGTTGTCTTCGAGGGGTTTTTATACTTTAAGGCTGAAATAAGCCATGCGTATTTTGCATTCGTTTACAGCAGACCCTTGTCGCGACGTCCGATGTGGTCAGAACGCCCGGTGCGAGGCTGGAAGATGCGTTTGTAAACAAGGCTATGAAGGCGATGCTGAGCGCGGCTGCCGACCAGTTCAATCAGGTTTGTCTTGTCCTATGTTTACTCTTCCTTACTGCATTTAGAACTCTTTTTCCTGTTCTTATGTACAAATTTAAGGTATTTTAGACAACCACCGCAGCTAGGTGTTGTTTTATATCCTGTTAACATTTGAACGAGGACTATGCTAAATTGCTAAATTGTCCAATGTTTCCTTGTTCTTGCTGCATTTAGAGCTTTTTTGTCCGTCCTCAATGCATATTCAACTAGTTTTTGTGATAATGCCGCAGCTAAGTGTGGTTGCATATCCTGTTACATTCTTAAGACAGGCTTTTTGAAACTAGCACATGAACCCTAGTTTCAGAAACATTTGCTGAAATAGTCTACAGCCACTTGCCTATATGCTGTTTTACTTCAGAATACATGATTTTGGGAAATGAATTATAAATAATAGTAGAGATGAACAGCCATTTTTAAAGATGTATTTAGAACGACGAGGCTCTGCATCTCTACTATGTGTATGGATCACTTATATGGCAGTCACTTCAGAGGACAGGGATATGGGATGGTCGTTTAATGTAAATGCATTTGCGCTTACTTCCCAGGAATGGAAACCCGTGTTACGGTGAGGTAGAAAACCAAGAGTGGGGTTAGGCTAGCATAAAAGTTAATGAATAAATGCGAAGATTCGTGTTCCGGGTGTTTGCACGAGTGAAGGAGAAGTTTGGGCGAGCACTGTAGCAGTTTGTTTGATGTACGGGTAGTGCATCGTCAGAAATAACAACAACAAAAATGTACTGGACAATTATAAGGTGCGTATACCAATCAGATATCAGGGACGCACTTCTGGAGTTGACTGCGCAGGGCTTTGTTTGTCGGTGCCAAATCGATAAATCCACTGATTTAGTTCCTATCCGTGGGCCAGACTTCAATAACTTCATCGCCCTCCTTGTGTCTAGCGTGGACGAATATCTTGACGAATGTGAAGTTGAACTCATGATCCGCTTGGTAAGGGTGAGCACCAACTCGCGGTAATTCGTCGTCCAATCGCACAGCCAGTTTATACTCATGTATGCACGATCCAAACATGCGTTCAGTTTGACCTGTGTAGTTAAAAGGACAGGTTAGGCATGAGATGCGGTACACTACCTCAGATTGCACTTCGGGATTTAACTGGTTTTCGCTTTTCATCAGCCTGCTACGCATGTTCGCTCTGGTTTGGCGTGCAATTCGAAAACCTAGTCCCGCAGCGATGCGATCCATCATTTCTGAGACGTCCCCTAGTGTATGGCAGAGCATGCTGTATCCTTGGTGGTACGTCTTTTGGGCCCTCCGAGGTCAACCGTTTAGGCATTGGCTTATAAACGCCTTCGAGTATCAAGTCTGCATAAGTTTGTTGCGAAGATGGGGGCCTCGCATCGCTTTTCCTCTGGCTTGCTGCAGTGAGTCTGAATCCGCTTTAAGTGCCCTCTCACACACCTTCATTTATAAGCAACTGGATGGTGGCTGTGATGTTGTGTTTGTTGCCTGCAACCCGTCGTCCTGATTTGACCGTTGAACTTTCCCTTGCCGAGGACTTCGAGGAAAGGCAGCTGCTGCTCTTGTTCTTCTTCCGTCCCGAATTTTATGTCAGGAGAGATTCCACTATGCAAGTTGTGGAATTTTAGCAGCAAGGCCCTCTTGACAATAACAAAAGTGTCGTCAAAGTAGCCGCGCCAATAAATAGGCTCATATTGGCTGCAGGCACTATTATCGCAGTGGTTTAAGTTAAGATGTACAACCCTTGCCACTGTGATCTTCAGGGCCGGATCTGCGTGGGAAGAGAAGAAGTGAGACGGTAGGAGGAGGGCTTAGTTTATTCTGCACAGAAGTAGTGGAGAATAAGTTAAGGGAAGTTGACTGTCGGACGAGTGCACACTCCCGAGAGGGCCGCATCCAGCGTGTGTGAGCTCGGCAACCGTCATATGAGGTCCTGTGTAAGTCGGCCTTGAAGGTGATTGGCTAGACGGAACTGGGGGAGGTAGGCGTTAGTGTGACCACACTTGCTAGCCACGGTGAAATGTTGGTGGCGCAGTTTGCAACACCTGTGATTGGCTGTCCCAGAGGCGACTAAGGTATGCAATCTAGTGACCTCTTGCGTTGCGTGGGGAGCTGAAAGACGCTACAGGGTCAGTTAAGTGTTATCTATCTCCTGTAAGACCAGTTCTGCCACTAAACTGGAGACAGTGAAGGGCAACTGTTGGCCCCCTTTTACTTACTCCAAGTTACATACCGGTTACGGCATAGCTGTTTCAAAGCCATGCGAAGTGCAGAATTAGCATGACAAAATTGTAAGCTCCTCTTTCCAGATCATTTACCTGCTTGCCATCAGCTGGCCTTCTCAGTATTTCTACCCCTACAGAGGATGGAAGACATGGGCGTCAGGAAGGGGCTAGAAGAAGTCATCTCACACAGTTGGAAAGGAAGCGAAGAAGGAAGTTAATTATCCCGCTGACCACTGTCCCCTGCTTGCTGAGACCCAGTTCTCCGAATACTAACCTCTATTTCCACTTCAGACATGTCATAATTGTTGGAACGCATTCACTTACTTGTTGCCATCTTATTTCGTTCGTGTGATCTGAATCCTCGACCTTTTACAAACAAACGACCGAATACTACTTGCCCAGGCTATGTAACAAGCTGTTGCCACCATGTATATTAATCGGCGGTAAAATAACTTGCCCAGTTACGCAAGCAGAAGGAGGAAAGTCGTAAATCTTTGTGCCGGTTGATTACATTTACCATACCTACAAGCCACGCACGTTCAAGACACGACCTTCAAGTTCTTTCACAAAGCGTATACCGTCAATGCCTATGCCGCCTAGATGCCTTTAAGCGTCCATTTCGCCGTTAGGTCTTCATGCTTCTGGCTGACTCTTCCGTAGACATTGAAACTCACTGTCATGTTATTTGTGATTGTGCAGGTGGAAGGAGTGGCAATTTGTGTGAGCAGCCATTGGAAACTGGACCGTGTCGGGCTTTTATTCGACGTTACGGATTTAATCCCCAGACGGGACGCTGTCAATTCTTTACATACGGTGGCTGTGCTGGTAATGCAAACAACTTTGAGACCGAAGCGGAATGTATGGCTCGATGTGAAGGCGCAGGATCAGGTAGGGTGATTGTATCTGCAGCAACGAGCACGTCAATATTACATCAATAGCTTTCCTTTATAGTGTAAAGATGTGCAATGTGGTTAATATCGATGCTAATATAAGACCTGTGTGTTATGATGATGAAATCTCTTGTGTCACCGTCTAATTACGCTCTTTGGAATTCTCAAAGAGTTACACAGTAACTTTGCAAGCCCCCCGGAGGAGGGTTTATTGTGTACAATACCCGGAGTTGCTGTCTCGTGTGGCAGTCGCCGCTGGCCTGAAGACAGCGCGCTGTATGTCCCGCCTCGGGCCGATGCCCGGGCCTGCGGCGGACTGGTGGGATTCTTGTTACTTTATATGGAACCCACTGTCTGAGATGTGACAGCTGCTTATAGGTGATTGTCAAGCGCGTTCGCTTGTGGCCTGATTGGGCGCGTTGGAATAAGGTCACCTGCCGTCTGAGGCACCTAAGTGGCCCTTGAGGAACTGCGACCAGTTGGACACGCAGGTTCGCCCGCGCGTGTGAGGGAATAAGGGGTCCGGCGGTGTAAGGTCATCGCGTAGGGACAAACACAGCGAAGACACAAAGACCTTGCGGCAGTCCGCTGTTGACAAAGGCATCATTGTTCACAGCCGGCCGCAGGCGCGACGCGTCAACAAAACCTACAAGTTTGTGCCGGCATTCGGTAAGATTAGGTTCCTAACACTTCCCTCCTTTGAGTAGCGTAGCGTGTTCCTTTGAATTAAATATTTGTGAGTCGGAGAGATCCTCCAGTACCATTCATAGCCTTATTGCACTATAAGATCATCGGAGAACTGCAGTAACGGTAACGAACTGAGAAATATGCATAGCCTTTTTGCAAGATGTGATCATTGGAGGTCTGTTGTAACAGTAACAAGCCGTTATGTCCGTCAATTGTTGTAACGGAAATACACATGGTGGAATGTGCCTCACCAATTGTTGTAATGGCTTGCTGTTACTGCATGATAGTCAGCACTTGTTTCGCGGAAGTACGCATGATGGAATGTGCGTCACCCATGCTGCATGCTGCATGATAGTCATCAATTTTTCCGCGGTGATAGACATGGTGAGTTTTCCGACGCCAATGTTGTAGGGGCGGCATTTGGCAGTGTCGCCAAGGATTTAAAGACTCCAACACCGTGGTGGAACCATGACCCTTTTGTAGAACAGCAATTGTTCCGGGGAAATACACATGGTGCAATGTGCGTCACCCATGCTTGTAACGTCCGAGGAACAATCTTACCTGCGTCGCCAATGCTGTAATGGTGACATCCGTTGTGTCACCGTCTAATTACTATGCATATATTTATAATGGTGTTGGTCCTAGGGTTAGGAGTAGAACATGGCAAGAGATTTCCACCTTAAGGTTTTACACAACACAGCCTATACTGCTGGGTTAACTTTCACCTTCCAGTATCCTGTCACGAGGAATATCAATTATCCATTATTTTCGGATAACGACTACGGATTGCACTATTGCGCATGTGGGATTTTCCGCTGGAACCGATTATGGATGATTTAGTTGTGAGATAATGCATTCAGATCGGCTGATCTCAACCATCGTACACGTCAGCAGGTTTCTGACGGCACTTCTGGAATTGTGCCTAGTTTAAACTTTATTTAAACAACCGTCGCACTGTAAATGGCGTCAATCGTGAACATCTTCGTGCACATAGACTGGGAACACAAGCAAACTTCCAGTGACTTTGCAAGTTAGTTTCATATTATTTGTGATTGTGCAGGTGGAGGTGGAGGTGGAGGGAGTGGCAATTTGTGTGATCTGCCATTGGAAACTGGACCGTGTCGTTCTCACCGTCGCCGTTACGGATTTAATCCCCATACTGGACGCTGCCACCTCTTTACATACGGTGGCTGTGCTGGTAATGCAAACAACTTTGAGACCGAAG